TATTTTTTGTAATAACTATTTGTATAGATATTTGTAATGTCTATTACAATATCATAGTTACATTATAAAATTTGATTCTAGTAGAAAACAGATAATAAGAAGTGAATTAAAAATTACTAGCATATTTTGCAATTTATATTATATAAATAATAAGATATATTTCACTTATACATGCATAAGTAAATTAATTCTTTGTTTGGCCAAAGGTAATTTATTATTGATTATTAACCATCTGTTTTCGACCTCATCGTATTTTCAACAGTAGTATTAGGTTATACATACATTTTGATGAATTGTATTAATTTAAACTTTTCCATTTTAGTAATCATAAGTGCAAAGTCATTAAAAATTCTAATACGATCCCTTTCCGATATACAAGCTCAGTGCAAAAGGTTCCAGATTTAAATAAATCATTAGAATTTACTGCTAATTCTTTTAATCTCTTTTACTGCTATTTAAATATATTTTTAATATATCAATAACAAATCTTAAATATAATATAATGTAAATAAATATATTTAATTAAATATATTCAAATTACTTTTAAATAATATATTTATTAAAAAATTTTTAATGAGTGATTTTTTAGATTATATAACTTTAATAATACCATTTTAGAACTAATACAGTGCTCCACATAACTATACTTCCACACCTATTTTCGTGTTTTTTCCAATTTAGACCCCAAATTTTTTTAAAATTATCGTTTAAATATTGTCCTCGGTTAATTAAAAGACTAATAAAAAATGAATTTTTAATTTTGGCTTAAAATTACTAGAGTTATAAATATTTTGTCGGAAAACACCTCCACATAACTATACTTCCACTTCCGAAATAATTATTTCCAACATTAGGAAAAATCCATAAAAATTCCAGCAAACTTATATACTTATATTATAAAAAAATAAAAAGAAACTAGGCCAATATCTTTATTCTAAGACGAGATCCTGATACCCCGAAAATCAACGTAAAACAGGGGTAAGCCTCTTTAAAAAATATTTTCGACCCCCTATAGATTATTTTGAATTTTCATTTTGGGCTCATTTGAAAGCCCTTGAAATTTGCTATAAGTTAGATTTCAACTCATAATCCAGAAAAAATTTATCTTTGAGAAATAATGAGTTTAGTTTGTAAATTACATTTTTGTCACTTTTTGGGGGGCGTTTGAGTGATTTTTATGACATGAAGTTTATCACATTAGGTCTTACAGGTGAATTTTTTTCGGAAAATAAAATTAATGCTATCTTGTAGCAAATTTCAAGGGCTCTCAAATAAGCCCAAAATAAAATTTTTATTTTACCAGTAAGGGGTCGAAAATATTTTTTAAAGAGGCTTACCCCTGTTTTACGTTGATTTTCGGGGTATCAGGATCTCGTCTTAGAATAAAGATATTGGCCTAGTTTCTTTTTATTTTTTTATAATATAAGTATATAAGTTTGCTGGAATTTTTATGGATTTTTCCTAATGTTGGAAATAATTTTTTCGGAAGTGGAAGTATAGTTATGTGGAGGTGTTTTCCGACAAAATATTTATAACTCAAGTAATTTTAAGCCAAAATTAAAAATTCATTTTTTATTAGTCTTTTAATTAACCGAGGACAATATTTAAACGATAATTTTAAAAAAATTTGGGGTCTAAATTGGAAAAAACACGAAAATAGGGGTGGAAGTATAGTTATGTGGAGCACTGTATGAATGAAAAATTTAAGGAAAATTAATTTTTAACATTGTTTTGAGATTTTATTTTTTTATTATTTTTTGTAGATTTTAGAATTTTATTGTTTTTTTGTTATTTTATATTTTTATTATTTTTTATATTTTTATTTTTTTATTTTATAATTTTTAATGTATATACACGGGTGGGGTTCATATTTTATATAGGAATTAGTTGCCGACCTAGGAACAATGTTAGTTTCGCGGATTCAATGACAAAGGATTTGACAGCTATAACAATATCTGAGCATGTTTCTTTCACAAATGACCAAGCAGAAGAAAATACACTTGGTTCATGGTACACTACTGTAAATGTTGGTCTGTACACCTGTTTCCATTCTTTCTCTTTCTCATCGTAAATAAACCATACATGACCAGTCGGGGTCCAAGTTATATTTGTAAAATTTGGTTGAGGGGGTAAATGTAAAATATGATTGAAACTGCTCGGTCTTGGTGTTCTTCGAAATAATGATACTTTAGCTTCTTCGACTTTCCATATTCTTCGATATTCACAGTACACATATCCAAAAAGAAAAATAAGTAAAATTTTATCGATCATTTTTTATTAACAATATAACGAATAATTATCACTTATATATTTTCACAAAGTTTCTGATTGTTCAACTGTTTCCAATACATCTATACATTCAATTGGGTAAAAATATTGATGTCTTCTTCCTCCAGCAACACAAATAAGTGGTAATTGTGGATATGCAAGATCAATTCGGTGACGAACATAGAAATATTGTCTTATTGTAACACGTAAGTATCCTCGCAGAGCAAATATCTGATCAGCCCCCATCTTCGTTAACTTGCACGGATATATTTCCATCTGTTGGTGCTTTAGATGATTTGTAATTAGAGCTTTCTTTCTAGGTTCAGTAAAATTCCTTTGACCAATCCCCGATATTGCAACATCTTCATTAGTCAAGCTTGTAAGAGTCTGCAAGTAATTAATATTTTCATTATATTTTTTTCGTAGTTCGCGATGAAGTGATTCTGGGGCACATCCTCCATTGAAACACAAAGTATTTGAATAAGTGGTGTTAATTGAACTTGAGGTGAAGAACTAATAGATTCAGGCATGTTGTCGCTAGTACGCATGGCAAACTATTTTGTAATAAATAAATATTGCTCTTATATACTAAGAGGGCCTTTAGCAAACCGAATACAGTCATCCCATCATTTCCTTTTTTACGAATATTTGTATGTAGTCTAAATAATACAGCCAGGACAAATAATAAACCCAAATCCAAAATATAAGCTAAGACAAGCAGTATATCCTTGTTTGGAGATATAGCAGGCCCTATAGAAAGTGCATACCTCCGTCAATAGCAAAACAAGCATTTGTATTCGGAGGAAACGGTCCGTGCAATGGAAATAAAATATTACTGTCATTTTGAGATAATATAACACAAAATAGTGAAAATAGTATTAAAATTGAATATATCATTTTAGTAGCTAAATTAAAATATTAACACTTATCTTATATACAAAAGGTGCTGAATGAATCGTCTTAAAAAATTGTCACGGCCTTCGGGAGGAATTGAATGCAATTTTTGTAGTGTTGATGAAAAATTGTTCTTTGAACGCAATATTAAAAAATAAATACAATAATGGCCACAGGTATCTGATAGAGGGGATTGCAAAGGAAATTTATTTTGTTTTACTTTTGAAAAATTACCAAGCATAGATTGTCACATGTCACAATTCGGCTCATCCGCAAAAGAGTCAGAGTATTCCACAGTACTCGGATTATCAGAATAACAAGCAACCCAATGTTCACCAACCGTCCCTTTACGCATATTATTTACAATAAAACAAAAATGCTTAGTCCATTTTTTATTTGGGATATTGTCAGAAGAAAAGACATCCTTTACAGGCTGATTGAACATACAACGAACGGTTGTTGTTCCTTGTCTAATGAGTTCCAGCCCATTGGTATCCTCAAGCGTTGAAGTCATATGTATAACAAAGAAACAAGACGATTGCGCAAATTCTTTCATTCCTATGCTTAAAGTTCTTTGATCTGAATTTGGCCAAGCATCTAAGTCCATACCTACATACATGTCAACAAAAGCACGTACAAAGCTGTCGTTGGAAAAATCAAGCTCATAAGGAACAGCTGGAAACTGGAACCCACCAAATTCTGCTGAAACAGTTCGCAAATTCGCATGCTCAAAATTGAACGGAGACAACGCAGTATTTCCAGTATATGCAGGTGCGCTTACAAAACAAATCACTAACCGTCTAGGACATGTACTAGTGAATGCAGCATGTGTAATTTCCTGGCGACCTTTTCCAAGAAAAACGCTCCGTATTTCAATCTTTCTATTGCATATTTTGCAGGCGTCTGTTCTAAATGTCTAGCAATAGCATTATTTAGCGACATACTTAAATCAACTTGTTTAACAAAAATTCTCATATCATGAAGTCGTAGGCGGTATGTGCTTGTATTATTTAATAAATCTTCACCAGCTTTTTTACGATATTTTGGTGCATGAATAAGGAATTCATCGCTATTTCTGTAAAATGTCCAGAGCACATCACTATTAGGTATTAAAAGCTGATTTTGTCTGGCCATATCATAGTCCAAATGCGACAGTAATCTGCAAGTCTGACCTTTGGCAAATCTTGCTGCTCGTGATTTAAACCCTGAACCTTCAAAATCGTTTTTGTCAACTGCATCTTTATAATAAAGTGCAGCCTCATAGAGACCTTTGCTAACCTCACGATCTGCTCCAAGTTCATGAAGAAGTAGACATCTGTATGCGTAATGTATTCCTGAGTCATAGCATTGAATACCATTAATAGATAAAGTTAAACGACGAATCCATGTTAAACCTAAATATTGAGCTACACTAGTAAAACTATCACCTGCAAAATTCCCTGCCAAGTCTTTAACAATAGGCACCCATTCGCCAGTTGCATCAACTTTACGTTCAAGAGATAATACAAGACTCAGATATGTCTTACTCAAATCTAAGTAAAGTGAGTCACCAAAATACCGGAAAATAAAAGGACCTGCAGATTGATTAAGTGCATTGAGGGGAAGCAATTCTTTGTATGCGGACCGTTGAATACCAACATTTGTTGATGGTATACTAAAGAAAGTTAGTCGATTATCAACCCCTTCAGTACTGTCTTTATCAATTTTCTTTATTGTCGTCATTTTAATTATAGAATAATAATAATATACTAATACATATATACTCAGAAATCATCAAAGCTGAGTTGGTCTCTATATCGTCTACGTTTCTTTCCTAAATTATCTATAATAACATTTTGTTATTTCTTTCGGCTTCTTTTGCCTTTCCCACATTGTTCTAGTTTTTTTCCTACTTTTTGAAGACCTTCGCTTCCATGCTGTTTCAATGCTTCACTTACTGAGCGACCTTGTGAAACATCTTCGAGAATATTTTTTCCTACATTTACAGCCTCATTTCCCGCAGTTGTGGCTATATTTTTAACAATAGGCATTAAAAAACGCCCTACAGCCCCAAGTACACCAAATCCTCTTTGATACCTAGTTCCTTGGAAATAACGATTATCTTCAAGTAATCTTCCTCCTCCGTCTTGAGCACTCAAAAATGGCTCCCAGTCAATTTTATCTATGTCTAAACTAACGTGTGTCATGCTTTAAAATAGTGAGCGTTGAAAGTGTAATGTTAATATACAAGTTCCCCAATGGAATTTTACTAGTTTTCCAGTTAAGGTTCGAATTTCAATAGTAATGTCTGGATGGCGTTTACCTAATAAACGATGATGATGTTCGGTCATATATACTTCTGAAACACTTTCTCCAGGTTCACCAGATACATTAACAACACGTAATAAAGGTGCAGTTACGTTACCTATTATGCTATTTTCAACAAGTTTTGGTGCATAAACTAAAAATTGACGCACACCTCCAGATATATCAGGCATATACTTTGCGACTTGTCCACTATGAACCTTCTCTGAATCGAAACCAAGAGTATAAGCTAGTTGACGACTTAATTTAATAAATTGTACGTTTCCTTGCAAGAAGACATGAAATCGCTTATGCACTTTATCGTATAGAATGGAAACCCATTGATATTTTGGATCAGCGAGTTGTATATTGGAGAAACTAAGAAACATTTTTAAATATTCAGGAGGATAAGCATATTCAGCTAGATGTAATTTTTTAGGCTCCGAATCATCCAACTCTTCAGATTCTTTTTGCGGATGAAAATTTTCTTGTTGTGGAAGTTCTTTGTCTTTGGTTTTATCTTCAACATGCCTAACTCCACCACTAAAGAAGCTTTTCCAAAAGGAAGGATGTTCAGGAGGGTCAGCAATTAACATTTCAGGATGCGGGAGCTCAGGCAACGAGCTTAGATCCTCAGGTTGAATTGCTACTTGTTCTGGTTCTTCTTCAATAGTGGGAAGATTACTCACTTTTTCAGCCACTTCCTCATTAATTATTGCCGGAGATTCCTGTGGCTTTCCTAAGCCTTCTTTTTCATGGGACCATGGTTCTACAGTGTCCATTGAATGTGGTACAGGCTCTTCTAAGGGGGGAGTCCAAGGCTCTTCATCTTCATCATCAACTCCTGGAAATTCCTGAATCTTTTCTTTAGAAAATTCTACATGCTCCTCAGCGACTTCTTGTTCAATTTCCTCACGAGGTTCAATATTTTTCTCATCTTCGTGTGTTGTAGACTCTTGAACATTTTCCAATATTTCTTCAGAAGTTTCATCAGCGACTTCTTTTTCATGTTCTTGATGTTCAATATTTTCATCTTCTACAATTGTCGAAGGATCTGCATCCTTTTCTTGAGTATCGGCAAAAGTTTCTTCAGCGACTTCCTGTTCATGATCTTCGTCAGCATTTTCCTCTTCTGCAGGTGCTGAAGGTTCTTCATCCTTTTCTTGTGTATATTCAGATGGCTCTTCAGAGATGTCATCAGTTGAGTCCGCTTCCGCACTATTTTCCTCTTCATGTGTAGAAGGCTGTTTACTATTTTCTTGCATATCTTCAGTCGGTCCTTTAGGCTCTTCTTCATGTTCGACTTGACTTTCTTTATTTTCCTCTTCATGTGTCGAGGTCTTTTCATCATCAGGAGTTGTTATTTTTGCCGATGAAGTTTCATCGTCTTGTTTCGAAAGTTCAACTTCAATTTTGCCTACAATTTCTTCCGATAAAAGTTTCTGACCCGCAACAGCTTCTTCAACTTGACTGGCTAATTCTTTAACCTTTTGTTCTGCGGCCTTAGCACGATCTGCAGCTTTTCGTGCCTCAGTAACATCGCCTCGTGATTCTGCCGCTACAGTTTCTATTTGTGCTTCTGAAACCCTATCCTTTGCATCTAAACATTCTTGTATCCATTTATCTATTTCATTTCTTCGACTAAACAATAATTTTAATTGTGTTACAACCAATTTTAGAATGGTTGCAGGTACTTTTCTCTTAGTTACCCCCGTCTCATTTAATGTTACCTCTTCATCTAGTAGTGCATACTTATAACGAGCATCTTTCCAATATTTCTGATTAAGATCTTTATTTAGTTGTGATTGTTGCTTTGCCAATTCTACACTATTTGTCAATGATCTTGTAGCCGCACGAACAGCCATATCTATCAAAGTTTTTTGTTCATCTGTTAGTGTATCAGAAAGAGGTGTTATCTTTCCGTCTAAAGGAGTGTTGTCATTTTGCTTTTCGGTATTCTGTTGTATATCATCCGATTTTTCTTCAGAAGATACTGGAGCTTCAGTAGGAGCTTCTGATACAGGTGTTATTGGAGACTTTGGAATAGGAGGATCATCAGTTATAGAACTATCAGAGGTAGGCAAAATTTCTGTTTTTTCATTAATTTGATTTTTAACTTGAACTTGAGAAGGAGCAGCTGTATATGTTTCATGATTTTCATCAGCATTTTCCACTAAACTTGCTTCTTGTAAAGGATTTTCAGGTTTAGTTTCAGATGGGGAAGGTGATGCAAAACTTTCTGATACAGGTGTTACTGGAGACTTTGGGATAGGAGGATCATCAGTTATAGAACTATCAGATGTAGGCAAACTTTCTGTTTTTTCATTAATTTGATTTTTAACATGAACTTGAGAGGGAGCAGGCGTTTCAGGATTTTCATCAACATTTTCCACTAAACTTGCTTCGTGTAAAGTATTTTCAGATGGGGAAGGTGATGCAAAACTTTTAATTGCATTTATTATTATATCTTTTTGCTCAGTTTGCGGCTTTAATCGAACAACAGAGCTTTCCGGAACTGAAGATAGAACTGGAAGTTTTGCCCCCTTAATTTCTTTATTTAAATATTGAATAAATTTATAAGCACGATCTTTTGGCATATCAAAGTAACCTTCCGTTTCCAATTGTTTAATGAAACTCTCATACTCGGCAGTAGGCAATTTTTCTTTTTGTTCAACTTCGGGCTGTGTTTGTGGAGTAGATTCAATGGTTTCTTCGATAGGAGTAACAGTCGCGTGTTCTTCATTTTGATTGGCCGAGGGAGGATTAGTAAATTCATCAAGTGCTTGTTTGATCAGCTCTATTTGATCGTGATTTGGAGTGAAACGAACCATTTCTATACCATCTATTGCATGAGGGCTTATAGGCGGTAAACGAATTCCTTGTTTTCCTAAAAATTTCATGAAATTAAATGAAATTTCCTTTGACAAATCAAAATACCCATTTTTAACTAATTGTTCGCTTATAGTCTCAACAGCTCGTCTTCTACGAAAATTCCCATAGATTCTTTTTTTATTTTCTTCAAGTCTCATTTCCTCTCTCTCGCGATCCAATTCCTTTTTCCAAGCATCAAGCAAAACTGCATTTATGGCCTCTTCTAATGCCCTTTCTGAGGCAAAAGACAAATCAGGTATCTCGATTCGAACAGATAGAAGTTCCTTTCCATATCGGCGATAAATTGTAATAGATTCTTGTTCTTCGGAATCTCCAAGTAAAGAGAATGAAAACGGATAAATAATGTTTGAAAGTGCAACAGTCCAACTTGAATCTAACTCAAGTGTGTCAGGCATCCTTACTGTAAACTTTGAGGTAGTATTTCCTTCAACATCTTCAGAATTTGAAGGTAAAACAACATAAAATGAATCCATGGTTAATGTCGAACTATGTCGCTGTCGTTTACCCAGCTGTTATGAATATTTTTATAACCAACTCAACGCACAAAGTGTTGCTTTATCCCTGTACGTGTTGTACGAGTCTTTAAAATTTCGGCAATACGATGAGTAGTATCCTCTTGCGTGGGCACCAACTCTTCTCTATAGAATATTCCTTCAATTAGGTTGTCTTCAAAATCTTTTAACCTATATGTTATAGGCGTACGTGCGTCGTTAGTTGTATGTATAAGAAAAAGCTCGTCAGTATAGTTTGGTAAATAACCTTTTTCAAATTTACCCTTTTCTTTTGATATACGGACAACTTGTCCAGGCTCGAGTTTAGAAGTTATTTTTATAGGATCATCAGTGCCCTTATATAAATTTTGAGAATTTTTCAAATAAATTTTGAGAATTTTTAAAAGTAACAGAATTAGGTGTAACACCTGTAACACGGTTTACGCTTGAATTTATTCCAGAAACAATTTTTTGAATGGCTTCAACCCACCGAAGTGTGTTTTTTTCGCTGAAGTATCGATATAATCTTTCTTTTATTGTACGATTTGCTCTTTCTGCCATTGAAGCATGAACATCAGGACTATAAACTACACGCTTGACAATATCCTTGGATATAAAATATTCTTTCATTCTTTTAGCCTCAAATTCTAATCCTCGATCAGTATACAATTTATGAGGCAAGATACCATTTGAAAGTTTGAAAACTTTTTCAAATGCTTCAATCATATCTTCTGATCTCTTAGTTTTGACGGGCGCTACAAAAATCTTCCGACTTAGAACATCAATACATACTAAAAGGTATCTGTTATTATCATTATGTTTAGATATCTGATCAAATATGGCCAAATCTGCTTGCCAATCTGTATGAAGACCACTTGGCCTTGTAACTAGTCTGGGAAATTTTTTTCTAATTGGTCGATGCATCGTATACACTCTTTGCTTATGCAAAAAATTATAGACGTCCTGATATTTTAACTTTGGATATTTGAGCTTAGCTTCTTCATAAACACGATGTATTCCTGCATAGGAAGCAGGAGAATTTAGCGAATAATATATTTTTGATAAAAAATTATTTAAAGCTTTTCCCATATTTGAGGAATAAATTTATTTTTCTTTTTTATAGGCAGGACTTTTACCAAAACTCTTTTCTTACTTTTTCCACTACCTGATTGACTTCCAGACCTTTCCTCTGTACTACTTTCTCCTTGCGTCTCTTTGATCATTTCTTTTACTAATGGGTCTTTGGATAATCGATTAAATAGAAAACTAAAACCTTTAGGAGGTGACGATATATCACCTTGTACATATTCGAGCACTTCAGTGAAATTACTATTCTTTACAAGTCTTCCTTTGACGTTAGATTCGAAGCTTCCATTCTTACGTATTCTAAATTTTTCAGCATTATCTTTGACATAATTTTCTAAATCTTTCGAATATCTCTTTGAAATAATTCCATTAAAAGGTGTTGTTTTTCTTCTTTTCATTAGTTTTGTCGATGTAAATTCTGAATCTGTTTGATATTCTGAACTTGATTGTACTGGTTGTAACTGTGCTTTAGGGGCTGCAGTTTCCTTTTAGGAAACATTTTTTTTTTTACCCTCATCGATTATCACCTTTTGAGGCCTATTTTCTAACTCATGTTTGAGTTGTCTCCTTTTCTTATATAACAATTTATATTTTTGGGCTTTGACATCTTCACTTAAATTTGGATCACTAAGAGTCTGTTTAATTTTTGAGTCTGTCTGTACTTTTTCATTTTGAAGAAAATCTCCGCCTTTGATCATGCTTAATAGTGTAAGATATTCGCTTTCAGGAACCATAATCATTTTCTTTGTATGTTTCATTCTTGTGTGAATCTATGAATGATATGTTCAGCTAAGGCTCCTAGGACAGGACAAGTATAGCAGCAAGAGCGGCACTACCTCCTTGTTGTATTCGATTTCTAGCGCTTTTTTCAGTACGTGTTCGTGCGATAGCTCTATAGAAATCGGCAAATTGAGCTAACTTCTTGCGCTGTCGTCTATTTAATATAAAATTATTTTTTAAAATATTAGCACAGATTTCAACTATTGCTAATATTTGATCCGCACTGGCTGAAAGAATTAAGGCGTTCTTCTTTTTATCGGAAGATGTTTTAGCTAAACGCTGTAAAAATTCAAAATTTTCTTTAACGTATGGACTATATTCATACATTTTTTATAAATAATAGTTTTAAGATCACTTATATATTATAGAGGCAAATATATAGTCTGTTTTTCACCTGGAAATATTTTAGTGGAAAGACGCAGATTCTCTTCTGTACTTGGATGCATATTAATTAGTAAATAGGAAAATTGTTCGGAAGTAGCATCGCGATAGGCCTCAAGAAAATAGTTTAACATTTTTGGGAAAAGCTGAGACCCTAGTGTACGTACCTGTAGTAGTCCTTGAGGATTTTTATTTAAAAGAATATAATGGGCGTTTGCACGAGCTGTCTTGATATCTCGTCCGTAAAGTGATTGTGTTACAAAGATTACGCTTACACCCCAGTTATGAGATCCCCGCGTGAATAATAAATCTAGAAATTCCATAGGGATATTTAGCATTAAGTCATCTAGGACTAATAATTGGTGTTGTTTAATCATCTCGACTTCTGGAACCCCATTATATGTTGTTATTCCCATTTCTTTTAATTTAAATATATTTTCGTTCATTTCACCAAAACAAAACAATATTTTATTTGGCGGAGGGTCAATTAATTTTTCACAATTTGCTCAAAATTTCATAAGCCATTGGGTTTTTCCGCTGCCTGTGGCACCGGAAATAACCATAGTGAAAGGAGCTTTGAACATTTTTTGCCTTGTAAAAAATGCGTTTTCATTTATATATTACAGATGATTCCTAAAGCAATTATTCAAAATGTTGTTTCTACAGCTCAACTACTTGATAAAAATTGTAAACTTAATCTTTATAATCTTGCAGCAAGTATTAACAATTCTAAATATGCTCCTGAACGTTTCTCAGCATTTATAATTAGAATTCAACAACCAATAAGATCTACGGCTTTATTATTTTCTAACGGGCGAATTGTATGTGTTGGGACAAAATCGGTGAAGGACTCGGAAATTGCGATTGGACATTTTGTTGTCATCATATCATCTGCAACTTCCTTACCAATAAAAATGCGAGGATTTAAGATACAAAATGTTGTATCCTCATTTGCTTTTCCTGGACATATTAATTTACCAGGTAATTTTTTTCCAATCATAATGAATTATTGTTTTAGCCTTGTACGACACCATGAGAATTTCTCCTCCACAGTGGCTAGCTAAACATATTTCTTACAACCCAGAATTTTTTCCGGGTATGTGCTTAAGACTTGTTGATTTTCGCACGGTTGTTTTAATCTTTACGACTGGAAAGTGTATAATTACAGGCGCACGAACAGAAGAAGAAATTTTTATTGTTCAAAATAAAATTTACAATTCGATTTTAATGTTTGTAAAAATCAATAAATACTAGTGTTGATTTCGCTTCTTAATTCCATCAAGAGATTTCCAAGATAATTTTCGCCTTCCCATTGATTAGGGTCTTTCAGTTTTGCACTTTTTGGGCTTACGCCGTTGCTCCAATAAAGTTCTGATGCGGACGCCTGCGTAATAAGTCCATCGCCTGTGGCACGTAACTGATTGAATAGCTGAATGTTCTGGGTAAATTTTGCCCATATTCCTGTGTACATTACCTAAATATTATGATGAAATAATAAATAATATTTTTTACTTTGTTGCGAACAGTGTTCCACTCAATTTGGTTATATCCGCGGATTCGTTTCCCAATTCTTCGAATAGTTATAGGATTATCTAGCATTAATATTTCTGAAGCAATTTCCAAATCCCCGAAGAAACGTGCTTTCTGCCAAATGAAAAATTGTTCTACTGAACTAAATGTTTTTCCAAGTAGTGTGAAACTTGTTCTAAATCGGTTGTCAAAGCCAAAACGTTGAGAATGAAATATGAATATATTTTGATGTTGTTCACCAACAATTTCTATTGGTGGATGCGAGTTCGCAGTAATTTTTATTTTCAGCCGTTCTAGGAAACAAGCTGTATTATCTAAAATATTTTATATTTCAATTCATTTAAAAAATTAACCTATATTGATATCATTGATCATATTGCTAAAACTATTTGAAACAAAAAAATAAGAATTTATAAAAATATATTGTATAAAACAAATCTAAAAACAAAATATTTATGAAAAAATATCTAATTATATAATTGAGAAGGGTGTGTCTGTTTGTCTGTCTGTCCTTTTATAGACAAGTGGGTTTTTATAGTAAAATGATTTGGGGGAGTGAAGAAATGGGGGCTTTTATAGTAAAGCGTTGCCTGTTGAAAAAAGTTGTAAGGTTAAGAAGATAGTATAAAAGCAGGGTATTTTGGTCATTCTTCAACTGCTTTCAACACTTCTCAACATTGCTGTGCTCTGTTCTACGTTTGCTGGAGTCCTGTGTGCTGGGCGTCAACGTTCATTTGTCAAGTGCTAGATGTCAACGTTCATTTGTCAGGTGCTAGACGTCAACGTTCATGTATCAAGCGCTAGACGTCAACGTTCATTTGAAGTGTGCTAGACGTCAACGTTCGTGTGTCAAGTGCTAGACGTCAACGTTCATTTGAAGTGTGCTAGACGTCAACGTTCATTTGAAGTGTGCTAGACGTCAACGTTCGTGTGTCAAGTGCTAGACGTCAACGTTCATTTGAAGTGTGCTAGACGTCAACGTTCATGTGTCAAGTGCTAGACGTCAACGTTCATTTGAAGTGCTAGACGTCAACGTTCATTTGTCAAGTGCCAGGCGTCAACGTTCATTTGTCAAGTGCTAGGCGCAAAGTTCATGCAGGCGGAATATTGAAACAATGGGAATTGTGAAGCAGGCGGAATATTGAAACAGGCGGAATATTGAACAAGGGGAATTGTGAAACAGAGGGAGTTGTGAAGCAGGCGGAATATTGAACAAGGGGAACTGTGAAACATGGGGAGTTGTGAAGCAGGCGTAATATTGAAACAAGGGGAATTGTGAAGCAGGCGAAATATTGAAACAGGCGGGATATTGAACAAGGGGAATTGTGAAGCAAGCGGTATTGTGAGAGGCAAGAGGAATTGTTAAGGAGGCAGAATATTGAAACAAGATGAATTGTGGTGCTGGAGGAATATTGAAACAGGGGAATGATGTGAAGCAGGCGGTATTGTGAGGCAAGGGGAATTGCGAAGCCGGGGAATATCGAAACAGTGGGAATTGGGAAACAGGCGGAATTGTGAGGAAAAAAAATGTGTAAGCGAGATGGGCCGGCCAAAGGCTTTTGAATCGGATCTTGAGTTGAATTGTTTTATTATGCTAGCGGAGTCACACGACGCCTGTGTGTACCCTTAGGTGCACCTATTAGATGCTTTGCTTTGTTAAATGTGTTTGTAATCAGGAAATGTTTTAATGCTGGTCAATGTTATGAAAATCGGGTTTTTCTGATTATGATTGGATTAGGGCAATTTTGAGGTTGTGATAAGTTGATTTGGAGTTTGTTTTTTGGTCTGTTTTGTTTTTGCTAGCGGGGTGGGGCGGCCGAAGGCCGACCAACTCCGCTAGTCTAATTATATAATTGAGAAGGGTGTGTCTGTTTGTCTGTCTGTCCTTTTATAGACAAGTGGGTTTTTATAGTAAAATGATTTGGGGGAGTGAAGAAATGGGGGCTTTTATAGTAAAGCGTTGCCAGTTGAATTGAGTTGTAAGGGTAAGAATATAATATAAAAGCAGGCTATTTTGGTCATTCTTAACTGCTACCAAAACATTCTCAACTTTGCTGTGCTCTGTTCTACGTTGCTGGAGTCCTGTGTCCTATGAGTGCTATGCGTCAACGTTCATTTGTCAAGTGCTAGACGTCAACGTTCATGTGTCAAGTGCTAGACGTCAACGTTCATGTGTCAAGTGCCAGGCGTCAGCGTTAATTTGAAGTGCTAGACGTCAACGTTCATTTGTCACAAGTGCTAGGCGTCAACGCTCAAAGTACTAGGCGTCAACGTTCATTTGTCAAGTGCCAGGCGTTAACGTTCATTTGAAGTGCCAGGCGTCAACGTTCATTTGTCAAGTGCTAGGGGCAAAGTTCATGCAGGCGGAAGATTGAAACAATGGGAATTGTGAAGCAGGCGGAATATTGAAACAGGCGGAATATTGAAACAGGCGGAAAATTGAAACAAGGGGAATTGTGAAGCAGGCGGAATATTGAAACAGGCGGAATATTGAACAAGGGGAATTGTGAAACATGGGGAGTTGTGAAGCAGGCGGAAAATTGAAACAAGGGGAATTGTGAAGCAGGCGAAATATTGAAACAGGCGGGATATTGAACAAGGGGAATTGTGAAGCAAGCGGTATTGTGAGAGGCAAGAGGAATTGGTAAGGAGGCAGAATATTGAAACAAGATGAATTGTGGTGCTGGAGGAATATTGAAACAGGGGAATGATGTGAAGCAGGCGGTATTGTGAGGCAAGGGGAATTGCGAAGCCGGGGAATATCGAAACAGAGGGAATTGGGAAGCAGGCGGAATTGTGAGGAAAAAAAATGTGTAAGCGAAATGGGCCGGCCAAAGGCTTTTGAATCGGATCTTGAGTTGAATTGTTTTATTATGCTAGCGGAGTCACACGACGCCTGTGTGTACCCTATCAGGTGCACCTATTAGATGCTTTGCTTTGTTAAATGTATTTGTAATCAGGAAATGTTTTAATGCTGGTCAATGTTATGATCATCGGGTTTTTCTGATTATGATGGATTAGGACCAATTTTGAGGTTGTGATAAGTTGATTTGGAGTTTGTTTTTTGGTCTGTTTTGTTTTTGCTAGCGGGGTGGGGCGGCCGAAGGCCGACCAACTCCGCTAGTTTTATAGAAAAAAGATCATTTTGTTGGATCATTAATAGGCGCGCCCCGATATCCATAAGGATAACAATCGAAATTTGCATCTACAAATCCTTTGTCATAGATTGGTGTGTAGCGTCTAAATAATTTTTATATTTTTCAAATAAAAATCAAATACCTTATTTGAGTTCGACTTGCAACTTGTCCTTTGCGCCAGTTAGGTTGAAAATGTGTTCGCTGTAATAATACAGGATCTTGTTCTTCTCCATATGCTTCTACCATTTTCTGCAAAACGAATTATAAAATTATATTATAGTTTTTAAATACCCGGAATTGATTAAAGTCCAGTGGTGTGTCAACTTGCTCCTAAAGTCCACGGCATTTTACAATATATTTTATTTCACCAGTTTCACGGTGCTTCATTTTCATTGCATACTAAGAAAAAATAAAGTGAATAAAAGTGTAATTTAAAAACCTGTTTGCATCCTCCTGTATAAAAAGATATAATAGACCATTCTTCATATTCGCGACTCATCATTCCTAGCATATCCCCAACACGAAACGGTGGTTTTTTATTACGCTTGTGTACAAAAAAACAACTATCCGTATCGGTGTATAAAAGTTTACACTCGTTGTCATTTACAATTTTTTCCATAAAGTCGTAAAACATCACTCTTGCCGTTGCTGTTGTAATAAGAGCCAATATAATGTTGTACTTATCGTGTGGTCGAACAAATTCGCGATGATTCTTATAAGGTACAGCAAAAAGATCTGGAGTCAACATCTCTATAGCACCCACTTCCAGCTTTGGATCATTAAGAATTGTATGAAGTTTTATTGGGGAACTTGTGATGCAATCTTGAGTTAAATTACAGCGAAGTGCCCAGCGTCCCCACCTAAAATTATTGATTTAAATTTTTAAATTTATTTACATTGAATTATTGCAAGTTTTAGCTAAATAGCGTAATCCTTCATTCCTTGCTATTTTTGAAGGCTCAAGAGTAATACCATATTCTTTTTGATTTTTCACAATAAAATCATTTTTGAGTCTTTCTTCATTTTCAAGATTTTCCGGAGACAAAGCACTGCTGGGCCAACCGCTTGCCTAAGTTAATACGTATGAATTTCAAAACTAATGTTAAAACCTCAATTTTTAGACGCATCATGTCCTGAACATATGGACGTAGTAATTCATCAGACCATTCTTCCCAATGATAGATGCTATAAACTTTTGTTGCACGATAACCTCTGCTCAAAGCAAGTTCAAGTTCTACAGAGCAAGTTGTGCTTACAAATCCGCGCTGTCTATCATTATGTTGACACCATTTTCTACCATAGCGATAGCTAGTTTGTTTACGTTTAGCCACGCCGGGTTCTATTTCTATTGCACATTGATGACATAGGTGAAATATCTAGGAAAATTTTTCACTTTGGATTAAAATCAACATACCAATTTTCCGTGTATTCTTTCTGGAATTACAGGTAAATATAAGTCGTCGGGTGGAATGATGAATAATTTAAATATTCCACGATAAGGCCTCAAGTCTTCAGGTTTTGTCAATTTATATCTAAATTGAGATCCAATAATTCTGGATGGCCTAAATAAGGATATATTTACAAATTTTAATTAAGTCTCACCAATGGGGTAAAAGGCATAGAAATTAACAGCCGGATATAGACTAACAACATCATAACATGAGATTTCGAATTCATTTTCTGTAGAGTCATCAAGATGGCATTTAAGAGATAATGGTCCTGTTCTTCCACCTAGATATTACATAATTATATGAATCAAAATAATAAAACCGTGAAAAGCATCTCGAGGGAATAAAGGTCCGATATCAGGCAATTCATCAAAGAAAAGTGACATTTTTTTATTATTCTCCAATGCCTTGACTACCTCACATTCCCAAAATATGTAGGTTCGTATGTGTTCGTTCTTCAGTAAATTGATGCGTTCATTTAAAGTGTCGTCATTATATAGTGCTGTTTTACCATTTAGACATATTTCGTGAGGACGATAAAGACTAAATTTATAAGTAAGAAAATGAAGCTTATTTTACCATTTATGTCCATGCCACGCACATCCTAGGAACTCAATAGCTATATTCTTTTCTTTGATGAATCCATCAAGTCGCAAAACATTTCCATTTGAAACAGTAATTCTATATTCGCCTTCTGCACTTTGTCTGTTTTGAATTTGAAGTCCTGTTTTATGTTCAAGCCATTTAATAAATTTAATGGAGATTGCAGAGTAGTTTGTATCTTTGTGATACCCATTGTCTGGAATAATACCTATCTGATTGTTTTTTAGATAGTTAATGCCTAAAAATAAAACTATATTGGTTTTAATTTTGAAATTTACAAAAATGACGAAGACATGCACTAGCCAAGGTCATAGATGATACAAGAACATCATCTCTCTTTGATGGTTCTGTAGCGAGTTCAAAGAATAGCTTTTGCAGTTTAACAAGCGCATGTGTGAGTATACGGACATCTTGCTCACAGTAATCGACTATTTCTTTGCATAGCAAAAAAGACTTGCCCTTGTGCAAATCGTACCATTCTTCAAAATCTTTCCTTCTTTGTTTTCCCATTACCTCTGGATAATAATACTTTTTATCAGGCAGTCCTTTCAACAAAACTTCCATATTTTTGTTATGATTCCATCCATGAGGAAAAAATGATTTTCCTCCTTCATCAATATCTAGACCAAGAGCCTTTGGTAATTGATCCAACTTGAGCATCATCCAATTAAAAGAATCGCGAAAAGAAATATAAGGATAAAATCCATCTTTCTTCTTAATTAGAACTTCGTATAGTTTGTTTCCGGTTCTAGTTATATTTGGTTCAATTCCAAAATGCTTGATCAATTCGCCCAAAAGTAAATGCATATCATAACGTCTGAAAAAATATTAAAAATAAAAAGGTAAAGTACAAACCCTCCATAATGTGAAATTGCAAGAGTTCTTCCTTTCCTCTCTTTACCAAGTCCAAAAATTATCCATTCAAGAAATTCACGCAAGGGGTTATCGTAATTTGCACCAGTCCAGCTTCTCATTCTTGGAATTCCTGGTCCACAAATTTTGCAAGCTCCTGTATATTTTTCTTTCCAATTATTATTTTGCATACAATTTGAGCATAATAATATTGCCTAATTTGTATTTTAGATGTTAAAATAATTTAAATTACCGAAACACAATTCACATGATGTAATTGATAATTTTCATCGTGAGATGAACCATCATTTTTATTTTTTGATGATGATATAAGTTCACATTCAAAATCAAATACAACCTAAAGAATTTTAACAGTTATTAATGCTAAAATTTACCATAAGATAAGATTGAGATTTCCTAGGAACAATCGGTTGAACATAGCATTGTTCGTCGCGTCTATGTCTGGAGCGGCAGAGAGAACAGAAACGAATATAACACACATGTCCTTCATTTTCCTCCTTGTTATTCACTTTGTATATTTGACCGCATTCTTTGCATCTATTTGAATTTTATTTTAAATTACAAGCTTTTAATTTACCTCTTAAAAATCTGACAGATTCCTTTTTTATATGTCGTTCGTAACAATCAGGATTTCTAAATAAATTAAAACAGTTGTAACAATTCATTTCAAAATTTTCAATCTCTTTGCATGGAAAATCTGCGCCCATCCCACAACATCGTGGACATTTTGCTGCACATGTTTGTCTATGTTCCAGTTTGCTGTGGAAGGTTGCTTCACATTCAAGGCAATAATACATATGTTTGCCAAAAAATGTATTTAATTTTCTTATACCATAATAATGTCCATCCTTTAAATAGAGACTGATATCTTTCTCAGCACGATCTGGTCCCTTCCATAATGGTTTCATTTGGCCATGTTCTCCAAATACAGATAAACGATATTCACCAGGATGTTTCTCATTAAGATATTTTTGTATTAAAGGAACATGTTCTTCCACATTATATTCTTGCAATTTTAGAGGATATCGTATTCCGTGTCGTTTCATTTGAATTACCATATCCTTGATCAATGTGTATCTTTGAGTCCTGGATTTTGCACCTTTTCCGGTAATAATTCTGTGAAAATTCATTTTTCCTTTTGGTGTATTATCAGTAGTAACCCCCCCCTAAATGTCCCAGTTGTGAGGTGTGACATTTTGGACGGGGTATTTACCCTACCACCAACATGCCCCAATTGAGAAGTAAGTTTTCATCATGTCCCAATTATAAGGTGAAAAATTCTATTGATTGTATTTCTCCCATACCCAGTTGCCCCAATCTAGTAGTAACCTAAATCAAAGCCCAACCCTTTTGTCTCACCCATGAGTGGCGGCAAATCAAAGCCCAAACCTTTTGTCTCACTTAATTTTCCCGCACCACCCTTTTGTCTTAGTAGATTTTGGACGGTGTATTGTCCCCACACCCAACTGTCCCAGTTGAGAATTAAGTTTCCAAAATATCCCACAATAATTCCCAGTTGTGAGGTAAAATATTTTATGGGTGAATTTCTCCTACACTCACCTACCCCAATTTAGTAGTAAGCCCCCCCCCCCCAAACGTTACAAACGTTACACCCATTTGATCACCTGTCAATCAAACCTGAGGCTATAGGGGGTATATTTCTTTTGATCTTTGCCGCAAACCCTTTGTTTTTGGAAGGGTTTGAGGGTAATTAATCATGATTAATTAGGGTAATTAATCATTGATGATTAATTGCTTTTTGATTGAAATTTGCGGGAATTGACAGGTTTGATGTTTTTGGGTTCTGGGTGGTCGGTTGCAACATTTGGAGGTTAAAATAAAAATTTTAAATAAATATTTAAAAGTGCGGTAAAATAAAAGAGTTGTCAAAAGGTTTTGGATGGGTGAAAATGCGGTAAAATAAAAGAGAGGTAAAAAGAAATGAATTTTTGGGTTTTCAATTATCTATGTGGGTTGATTTAAGGGAAATATTTAATTGAAATGTTTCGAATGATTGAGAGGTGATTAGGTACATTAATAAGTATAAAGGGCGCGATTGATAAGTGATAGAGGTGGGAATTGATAATTAAAATATGAAAAGGTTTAATGGGTATATTTTTGATTAATAATAAAACCCCTTTATAACATTTTAAAAAATAAAAACCCCAAGCGGAATCGAACCTTCACCGTCGTGTTTTTTCGTATGCGGGAACCTTATCCATTCGGCCATAGGGATGTACTTAAATTTAATAAAATAATCGGATAAATTATAAAAATTAATTTCTCTTTGCATTTTGGGGAATGGGGTGGAGGATTTTAAAAAGTTTAAAAATTTCGCAATTAAAATTTTAAAAAATTTAAACACCAGTCGATTAGAGGACGTGCACCACAAGACAATGCAACTGATGGTTTTAAACTAAAAGACGAATTATTTATTAAAATAGCTAATCAGAACAACTTATGCTTATTCTATGCTTTGGAAATTACCAAAAAATATGTTATTAAAGAATTGGGAGATAGAAGAAAATTTAATAAATATATGCAATACAATCATCGGCAGATGAAAGATGTTTTCGACCTCCTAAAAGCTGCAAAAATTCCTAACGATCTCTCTGAATATGATGCCGTGGAGTACGTGCCAGTTGTTGTAGATTTTTGGAATAATCAATATAAGGATAAAGGATATAAATTCAAAGTATTTGTTTTTGGAGGTGTCAATGAAAAACCTATATTTAAATATGGAAATGAAAATTTTAATGTTCCAATTTCCATTTTCCACTCAACTAACCATTTTGATGGATTAAGAAATGTTGGAGGAATTTTCGGGGTGAACCATAAATATTGCTTTACTTGTGAGAAGAAATTCAGAAAATCAACGGAGCATGACTTGAGATGTAAATCTCTCTGCAGATTGTGTGGACGCATTGGAAGTGAATATGCTTGAATTTTGGAATATGCTTTGAAATTTGTGAAAGCTGCGCGAAATTAAATATGCAATTCAAAGATTTTGTTGCTGACTGGGATGAGAAGAATATTTTCGGAAGCCACGCCCATTTTCAGTATAAATACTGAAATATTCCCCTGGATCGTATTTCCATTCAAAATTTGAATTCATTTATAAAATTATTTAAAAAATGTCGGTAATTAAAAATAATTGCCAGCTCTTAGAAAAAGTGCTCCCTGAGGTTTTATTTGCGGTATCTTCTTCTGGTGTGACAATTTCGTCACCACGGCTCATAACAGCACGTTTTGTGGAGTTTGACTTGGCAGGGAAATGTAAAAGTTGCATGGGAGAAAATGTGGACATTGATTTTATTGTTACTCCGAAGGATGTAACCTTGTATTGCAATCGCCTAAAATCAGAAAAAGTCGTCATGTTTGACCATATTTATGAAATTCCTCAACAGTGTGTCTTTCGTGTTAAATCAAAAGGGAAGAATTACAATATTATTCATAAAGAACCAACGTGGAATGAAAAAGATTTTATCAAAGGAGAAGGACAAATGACTGTTAAGGAATTTTTGTCAAAGTTTTCACAAAACAAAGCTCAAGTAGGGATAGAAGAAACAAAAGAAAATATAAAAGAAGACGATAAAGAAAAGAAATTAGAAGAAAAAGATAATAACCCAAATAATATTAAATCTTATTAACCCTTACAATTAATAATCCTCCAATAATCATTAATCATATATTATATTTTTAATTTTCGACAAATATTTTCAAATATGAATTATCATTTATTTTCTCATAAAGATTTGAAATTAAAACTTCCGTTTGGTTGTATTATTAGCGGCCCAAGTTCGACTGGTAAAAGTACATTTGTACGAAAATTAATTTCAAACTCTGATCAACTTATTGAGCCTATTCCAAAATCTATTCTCTACTGCTATGGCGAATATAATTCTCTTGTTCCAGAACTACAGCGAGCCGGAGTCTCAGTTTATTCCGGAGTTCCCCCTGAGGATCTTATTAAGAAACTAGAAGAGCCTGCACTAGTCATTCTCGATGACCTAATGTACTTAATTGACGAAAAATATTTATCGGAACTTTTCACAAAGAAATCTCATCATCTTAATTTTGGCATAATTTTCATCACTCAGAATCTTTTCGAGAAAAAACTCAAAGTCGCTCGTCAAAATTCCATGTATATTGTATTAACTCGCGCACCAAATAGTGCACTCTCATTTATATTGTTGTATCCTCAGGCATTTATTTTCTTCTTCATTTATTTCCCTCATGTTGGGAAGAAAAAAGGAAAGGGACTCTAACTCCGAAGTTTGCATGTTTTGGCTGTCCCTATTTATAACTTAAAAATTGTAATTTTATGAACAGGACAACAAAACGTTTTAATATAACAAAACGTTTTAATTTTATCATTATCTTCTGTCTCAATTTTTTAACTAAATTTTTATTCATTTTGCTTATCAAAGTTATAAAAAATAAAATAACAAAATTTTAATAATTATTCATGTATATTTATTTTGCTATAAATAATTAGAAAGTATAAGTATTTCTTTCCAAATCTATTTTTAAAAGGATTTAAGCCTGATGATAATCAAAGAATTCTAATGTTTCCCTCGCTACTACTGTCTGGTTTATTTTTCTTCTTTCTTTAACATCTTCTAATACATTGTCTAGCGATCGTTTTAAAATTTTAATCTTCTATCATTTCTGAACACACTTCAAATATATTTTCCCCTTTGCACTTTTAATTCGAAAAGAAAATTATTAGCAGTAATAGCAGTGAGTAACAGTAGTATAAATAACTAAAGTAAATTTCAAAAATTATTGAATTGATGGTCAGTAATATTTTAATCATTATTTTGATAACGAGAAAAGAATATTTTAAATAAACTTGAAATTTCTATGTATTTTTAGATTAATCAGATTATTATTATAATATGTATATGCATATTTAATTTTTTAATTTCTAAATTTATTTTTGTAGAAAAGATAATTTAAATGTTAATGTACTCATCACACACGCACTAATATCTCATTAAATTCCATAAGGCGATTACCTACTACTATACCAAATTCCGTAATTCATTTTTATAAAATTTATTGATTAATAGTATAATTATTGATGATCTCTTGAGCCTAGGCTGATATAAAATTTTTCTCATTATAGTAGTTAAATTTGCAAAAGCTGCTTTTCTTGGCTTCACTTTATTTTGCAATTTTTTTCCAGTAAGAAACATCTTAAATTCTACATATCCTATACTTTTTAATTTTCTTAAGATTTTTTGAAAAGATATAGATCAATATTTATTTTATTTATACAATATTAGAAGGTCTTATTTATAAGTCTTATTTACCGGGGTTTGCTGATTTTAATTATTATCTACTGTTGAAAATATTATGTTGTGGCTTAAATTATAATTATATATTTTTAGATTAATAATGACAAATTTTATATTTGTGTGAAACTAGTTTATTATTTAAACTAGTTGATTATTTAAATAATTTTCTATCAGCTTTGCGTTTCAGGAAGTATTGGTGCATTTGGTGATAAATTTTGCCCTAGTGGTGGTGTAGTAAATTCTATTACACTATGTATAGCAACGGATATATTGTATCTCTATGTATTGCAACGGATGTCCAGGACTTGATGAAGAATTTGGACGACGCCTATTCGGATTAGAAGTAGAATCTGTTGAATGATTACATGGTAAATTTTTCAACATTTGAATGAAGTTTTTTGAAAATATAATATAAATTCTATAAAAAGTAAATCTAAAATAAATAAAATGACATTCTGGATTAAAATAAAAATTTCTCAAATAAAAAAAGATTAATGAATTGAATAATTTAATGATACTTAAAATATTTTGATGCAACAGTTTTCCAATGACGTTGATGTTTGTACTTTTATGTGAGAACATGTAATTATGAACTTCGTATTAATTTAAAGATTTTCTAATTAGTTGTGTGTTTTGCTATTGCAATTTCAGATTTGTATGTTGTCTCAGACAAAAGATGCTTTATTTATATGTATCCGCGTATTAGGTAGTAAGTACCCTTTGAATATTTAAGCTGTTTTTCTCTTACCATATTAATTTTTGCAATGTGATTTCTTAAATTCTTCAAATTTCATTTTTATAACTCTTCAGAAATTAAGAATAACATA